CCCCACGCGCGGCGCGGAGGCTGCGGGCTTAGCAGTACGGTTCAGGGGTCGTGTTTAAACCAGTCACTACTACGGGTAGAATTACGCGCAAAGTAGGACCTGCAAATGCCTGCCGCCGAAACGAACGGTTTTATACTCTTCGGCTCTCAGCGCTAAAGCCCATCACCCCTATACCCACATTCCTGTAAGCCACGGCGGGTGTTAATATCTTAAATTTAATACTACCCGACGGCCCCTTCAGTTGCAGAGATCTTTCTCTGTCCCTTAGAGTCTCTACCACAGAAAAGGCCCAACGCGACCTACTCAGGGCTTTTTTTTTTTGCAACGCAACAGCAGTAAGAGGACTGCAACAGCACCGCGCACGCGCAGCTTGGTCCCGCCCCTCTGCTTCCTTCTCAACCTTGTAGCATTAGGGAGGCGGGATGGCGCAGCAATCTGGCCAATCAAGAGAGGTGTCGGAGAAGCGCGCGCAGGAGCCCGCAAACCCCGAGGGCCAAGGAGGCCGTGCGATTCTTTGTGCGCCTGCGCAGCTTTTTAGCGTGTAGCGGGCTGGGAGCAAAAACTAAAGGTGAAGGAGTTGGTTGAAGCGAAAGGACTGAGGGTGTTGCTCCAGCTCTGTGCCCCGTCTCGTCTTTTGCTGGGAGGAGGGCATCTCTGTGTTACAGCTGTTAAACTCGCAAAACAAGATCGTAGAAATTCCCACCGTTCAGGGACCAGCGTTTCCGGTGGCTATAGACGCTGCCACGGGTAACAAGTACGGAGTCACGACAAAATGGCTGACAGCCATTTTACCGCGCAACAGAAAGTGCGCATGCGCCAGGTCCCGCGAGTTATTTACTACGCAGACTCCCACATCTAACAGTACTACGAGCTCACGTTGGACAGTACCATTCAGAGCTAGCCAACCATTAGATTATAGAAGGAAAATTTGAGACGAAAATTTTTCCTGTAAAATTTTGGAGGCGAGGAAAAAGTAATTGGCAAAATGTGACCTCACTTTCGCAAGTTACAGTGAAATCTCACGAGTGTGTAACTCACTACAAGAGCCATAGATAAAAATCGATTATGTCGATAAGCGCAGCCCCAGAATAGTTATTCCATCACATCTGTTTATACAAATCCTTTGGGCCAATTTGGAGGTTTTTGCGTTCCCAATGAAGACATACAATTTTTTAAAAAAATTTACTAGTACATGTTTGCAGTATATAATGATTACATTCATCATGTGTGGTTGGTACACGTACATACACCTGAATTCTTTTTTCCACCGCCTCCACCTCCTCTCCCCTCCATCACTGCTCCTTCCATCTCTTGGTTCCCTTCCCGTTTGCAAAAGTTCCATCTCAAGGGTTGGTTTGTTGGTTTGTTGAATCCCCTTTCCCTCTATCCGCCCCCCACCCCTTTTTGGAGGGGTTGGTCATTTTGAGACAGGGTCTCGCCAAGCAATTCAGGCTGGGCTTGACCTCACTTGTAGCCCGGGCTGGTCTTGAACTCGAAACTGTCCTCCTGCCTCAGCCTCCTGAGTGCTGGGATTACAGACGTACACCACCGCGCCCGGTTCTTTTTTCTTTTCTTTTTTTTTTTTTGAGACAGGGTCTTATCATGTAATTTAGCTGCCCTTGAACTTGTTATGCATAGGCTGGCCTCCAATTTGAGGCAATCCTCCTGCCTCAGCCTCCCTCCCAAATCCTGGGATTACAGGTGTGAGCCACCATGCCAGGCCACCTTCCTTCTATCTCTTGTTCCCCTTCTCAACTGAAAAAGATCTCCTTCCTTTCTCTTTTATTTTATTTATATTTTGGGTTAAACCATGTGATATTTAACTTGTGTGTTTGACTTATTTCACCTAATATTATAGTCTCGAGGTACATCCATTTACCTACAAGTTTATCTTTCATTATGGGAGAGTAGTACTCCATTGTGTATAAATACTACATTTTCTTTGTCCATTCATATGTTGGTGGCCATACAGACTGTTTCCAAGACTTAGCTATAATTAATTGTGTTGCTGTAACATAGGTATGAATGTATCACTGTAACAGAATGTCTTTGGCTGAGCGTGGTGACACACACCTGTAATCCCAGCACTCAGGAGGCTGAGGCAGGAGGATCGTTGTGAATTCAAGACCATCCTGGGCTACAAAGTGAGCTTAAGGCCAGCCTGAGCCACATAGCAAGGCCCTGTCTCAAACAAAACAACAAACAAAAAGAATGTCTTTGGCCAGGCATGGTGGCTCATACCTGTAATCCCAGTACTGGGGAGGCTGAGGCAGGAAAATTGCTGCAAGTTTGAGGCCAGCCTAAGCTAGATAGTGAGTTCAAAGCCATCCTGAACTGCCATAGCGAGACCCTGTCTCAAAAAAAAAAAAAAAAAAAAGAAAAGAAAAAAAGGAAGAAAAACAACAAAAAGAAAAGAAGTATGAAGCCAGTCTTTAATCCCAGCACTCTGGGAGGCTGAAGCAAGAAAATCACTAGTTTGAGCTCCTCCTGGGCAACTTTGTGATTTAATGAGACCCTAGGCTGGGGATTTAGCTCAGTGGCACAGCGCCTGCCTGGCAAGCACAAGGTCATGAGTTCAATTCCCAGTACCAGGAAAAATAAAAAATAAAAGCTGATTTAATGAGACCCTGTCTCTATATAAAAAAATCAAAAAGAGGACAGGCATGGTGGCATATGCTTGTAATCCCAGCACTCAGGAGGCTGAGGTAGGAGGATCATTGTGAGTTTGAGACCAGCCTGAGCTACAAAGTGAGACTTTGTTTGTTTGTTTATTTGAGACAGTCTCACTATGTAGTGCAGGCTGGCCTCAAACTCACAGTGATCCTCCTGCCTCAGCCTGCCAAGTGCTGGGTTTATAGGAATGCACTACCACACTTGGCCTTCATGGGGTTCTTTTTTGTTTTCACTTTTCACACTGGGAAATTGAACTTAAACCCTTCACACTGAGCCACATCCCCAGTCTTTTTTAAATTTTGAGACTGGGTCTTGCCAAATTGCCCAGGTTAAGCTTAATATCTGTAATCGTGCCTCAGTGTCCCAAAGTTCTGGGATTCCACATGTGCACAATCATGCTTAGCTTAGCCATGAGTTTTGAGACCTCAAACACACAGATGGCACTAGAGAAGTAGTTCATAGGAGAGGCCCAGGTAGAAAGCACCAATTTAAGAATTGTCAGTACAGTACAGTACTGTACTGTAGCTCGGTGGCACAGTGCTTGCCTGGCAAGCATGAGGCCATGAGTTCGATTCCCGGTACCGGAAAAAAAAAAAAAGAATTGTCAGTACAGATGATCTTTAAAGTCACAGATCCATGGTCACTTACAGGCAAATGAGTGAATGAAGACAAGAATAGAGATAGAAAAAAAAAAAAAGAATAAAGATAGAAGGAGCTTGCCAGGTGTGGTGGCACACACCTGTAATCCCAGCACTTGGGAGGCTGAGGCAGGAGGATCATTGCAAGTTCCAGACCAGCCTGGGCTACAAAGTGAGCTCAAGGTCAACCTGAACTGCATAGCGAGACCCTGTTTCAAAAGTTTAAAAAAAAAAAAAAAAAAGACTGAAGAACCGACTTCTACCTTTAGGAGAATGAGGAGAGACTGGTGAAAGGTGAGCTCAGAGAAAAATATTTTCTTTGGTCTTTTTGAGACAAGGTCTCGCTATGCAGTTCAGGCTGGCCTTGAGCTCTCTTTGTAGCTCAGGCTGGTCGCAAATTCGCAATGATCCTCCTGCCTCACCCTCCCTCCCGAGTGCTGGAATTACAAGTATGCACCACCACGCCCTGCAGAGAAAAATATTCTAAAGGCTTGGTAACTTGTCAAGAACAAAGTAATAGCATCAGGTGTTGTTTGTGTAGATTGCCTAAAATGAGGAATGAAGCCAGGCATGGTGGGAGATTCGTGTTCCCAGCTCTCAGGAGGCTGAGGCAGAAGGATCTCTGTGAGTTCTTTGAGGCCAGCCTCGGCTACATAGTAAGACCCTGTTTCATAAAAACAAACAAAAAATCCCTGAGAGCAGGGCGTGGTGGTGCATGCATGTAATCCCAGCATATGGGAGGCTGAGGTAAGAGGACCCCTGCGAGTTTGAGGCCTGCCTGAGCTACAAAGTGAATTCAAGGCCAGCCTGAACTGCATAGTGAGACCCTGCCTCAAAATGACAAAAAAAAAAAACATCCCCAAGGATTGAGATCACCACTGGATTTGGCAACATGGTCATCAGGGGTGATTCTGACAGGAGCTGTTTCCAGTGAAGCAGTGACCGAGGGCTGTGGAAACAGTCGGAGAAATGGAGATACATATGGACAACTCTTTCAAGAAATAAAACGTTTTTGCAAATAGGAGCAGAGATGGGCTGAAACTGGAAAGAAACATAGGATCGAGGAGCCATTACTTTTCCCAAGATGGAAGACAATACATGTTTCAAATGGATACAAATGATATATTAGATGAGGGGAAGGGTAGACACTGGACAATGGCTGCACTGATTTCCTGGGGTAGACAAAAGAGGATAGGATCAAGTTACCAATTAAGAACAGTTCCTTTTTTTTTTTTTTTTTTTACTTTTTGAGACAGGGCCTGGCGATGCAGTTCAGGCTGGCCTTGAGCTCACTTTGTAGTCCAGGCTGATCTCAAACTTGCAACAATCCTCCTGCTTTAGCCTCCCGAGTGCTGGGATTACAGGCATGCGCCACCACGCCAGGCCTAACAGTTCCTTTCTTGCAAGGAAGGCAATCTAGGTACAAATACAGGTAGGTTGGTAGATTTGTTGAGAGTGTGCAGAAGTCAGTTACTTCTATTTTATCAGTGAAGTAAGTAGGCACTACAGTAGGTGCTCTGGAAGTGACTTTAAGGATGACAATGACTGTTAATCGCCATCTCCATTATCCATTATCAGAGCCTATGAATTTCTATTTATAGTTTCTTTTGTTCTTTTTACCTGAAAGTTCTCTTATCAACACTTTACCCCATATTTCTTTCTTCTTTTTTCTTTTCTTTTGGTCTTTTTGAGATAGGGTTTCCCTATGTAGTTCAGGCTGGCCTTGAACACACTATGGAGCCCAGGCTACAAGGGTATCTTCCATATTGTAGCAATTACAAGTAAAGCTGCTATAAACATACATGTGCAAGCCAGGAGACGTGAGGTCTGTCTGTAATACAGCTACTCATGAGGCAGGAGGTCAAAGTGGGTACCTACAGCAATATCATCTCAAAACAACAAAATACTGGACATGGTGATGCACGCCTGTAATCCCAGCACTTGGGAGGCTGAGGCCAGAGGATTGTTGCGTGTACAAAGTGAGCTCAAGGCCAGCCTGAACTACACAGCAAGACTGTCTCAAAAGGGGAGTGGGGTTGCTCAGCACTAGAGCACTTGCCTAGTACCCACAAAGGTCTGGGTCTCATCTCTAGGATACCGTATCTCTCTCCCAAAAACATCTCTGTGCTTTTTGGTTGGATATAAGCTTTCATCACCTTTAGGTAAACACCAAAGAGAACAACTGGATTGTATATGTGCTGCAAAGTGAGCACAACACAACTAGACTGTATAGTGAGAGTACACAGAGAAAAAAAAAAAAAAAGGCCGGGCGTGGTGGCGCACGCCTATAATCCCAGCACTCAAGAGGCTGAGGCAGGAGGATCCTTGAGTTTGAGACCAGCCTGGGCTACAAAGTGAGCTCAAGGCCAGCCTGAACTACCTAGTGAGACCATCTCAAAAAAAAAAAAAAAAAGAGTACGCTTAGTTTTGTAAGAAATTGCCAAACTTTTCCAAAGTGGTGGTACTACTGTGCGTTCCCACCAGCAACAAAAGACTTCCTGTTGCTCCATAACCTCGCCACAATGTGTCTCAGACTCTGTCGTTCTAACAGGTGTGTAATGGTTATTTCATGTACTCCCAGAGAGCAAGTCTTTGATGACACATGACGTGGGAAGCGTCTTTTCATATGCTTATTTGCCATCTCTGCCAACCCCATGCCAGTTGTTTGGCTATTTTTTTTTGTTTGTTTCTTTCCCGGTACCGGGAATCAAACTCGCGACCTTGCGCTTGCCAGGCAGGCGCTGTGCTGTTGAGCTAAATCCCCA